TCAATAAATGGTGTTGGGAAAACTGGCTAGCCATGTGAAGAAAGCAGAAACTGGACCCCTTCCTGACACCTTACACTAAAATTAACTCCAGATGGATTAAAGATTTAAACATGGCCGGGTGCGGTGGCTCAAGCCTGTAATCCCAGCACTTTGGGAGGCCAAGGCAGGTGGATCACGAGGTCAACAGATCGAGACCATCCTGGTCAACATAGTGAAACCCCGTCTCTACTAAAAATACAAAAAATTAGCTGGGCATGGTGGCGCGTGCCTGTAATCCCAGCTCCTCAGGAGGCTGAGGCAGGAGAATTGCCTGAACCCAGGAGGCGGAGGTTGCGGTGAGCCGAGATCACGCCATTGCACTCCAGCCTGGGTAACAAGAGCGAAACTCCATCTCAAAAAAAAAACAAAACAAAACAAAACTTAAACATAAGACCTGGCACCATAAAAACCCTAGAAGAAAATCTAGGCAAAACCATTCAGGACATAGGAGTAGGCAATGACTTCATGACCAAAACACCAAAAGCATTGGCAACAAAAGCCAAAATAGACAAATGGGACCTAATCAAACTCCACAGCTTCTGCACGGCAAAAGAAACAATCACTAGAGTGAATCGGCAATCAACAGAATGGAAAAAAATTTTTGCAGTCTACCCAACTGACAAAGGGCTGATATCCAGAATTTACAAAGAACTCAAACAGATTTACAGGGAAAAAAAAAAACAAGCCCATTCAAAAATGGGCAAAGGATATCAACAGACACTTTACAAAAGAAGACATACATGAGGCCAACAAACATATGAAAAAATGCTCATCATCACTGGTCATTAGAGAAATGCAAATCAAAACCACATTGAGATACCATCTCACGCCAGTCAGAATGGTGATCATTTAAAAATCTGGAGACAACAGATGCTGGAGAGGATGTGGAGAAATAGGAACACTTTTACACTGTTGGTGGGAGTGTAAACTAGTTCAACCATTGTGGAAGACAGTGTGGCGATTCTTCAAGGCCTTAGAAATAGAAATTCCATTTGACCCAGCAATCCCATTACTGGGTATATATCCAAAGGACTATAAATCGTTCTACTATAAGGACACATGCACACGAATGTTCATTGCAGCACTGTTTACATTAGCAAAAACCTGGAACCAACCCAAATGCCCATCGATGATAGACTGAATTGGGAAAGTGTGGCACATATACACCATGGAATATTATGCAGCAATCAGAAATTATGAGTTTGTGTCGTTTGTAGGGACATGGATGAATCTGGAGAACATCATTCTCAGCAAACTGACACAAGAACAGAAAATGAAATACTGCATATTCTCACTCATAGGTGGGGGATGAAAAATGAGAACACATGGACACAGGGAGGGGAGTACCAAACACTGGGGTCTATTGGGGGGAAGAGGGGAGGGACAGCAGGTGGGGGAGCTGGGGAGGGATAGCCTGGGAGAAATGCCAAATGTGGGTGAAGGGGAGGAAGGCAGCAAAACACACTGCCATGTGTGTACCTATGCAAATGTCTTACATGTTCTGCACATGTACCCCAAAACCTAAAATGCAATTAAAAAAAGGAAACTTTAGACCAGTATCTTTGATGAAGATTGATGTCAAAATCTTCAACAAAAATCCTAGCAAACCAAACCCAGAAGCATATAAGAAGCTAACCCACCGTGATCAAGCAGGCTTTATCCCTGGGATGCAAGATTGGTTCAACATATGCAAATCAATAAATGGGACTCATCACATAAACAGAACTAAAGACAAAAACCACATGATTACCTCAATAGGTGCAGAAAAGACTTTCAATAAAATTCAACATCGCTTCATGTTGAAGACTCTCAATAAATTAGGTATTGAAGGAACATACTTGAAAGTAGTAACAGCTGTCAACGTAGTAATACACAGCCAACATTATACTGAATGGGCAAAAGCTGGAACATTCCCCTTGAAAATCAGCACATGACAAGGATGCCCTCTCTCACCACTTCTATTAAACACAGTATTGGAAGTCCTAGCCAGAGAAATAACCCAAAAGAAAGAAATAAAGTCATCTAAATAGGAAGAGAGGAAGTCAAACTATCCCTGTTTGCAGACAGCATGATTCTATATCTAGAAATTCCCATAGTCTTGGCCCAAAAGCTCTTTCGGCTGCTAAACAACTTCAGCAAAGTTTCAGGATACAAAATTAATGTGCAAATATCACAGCATTCCTACACACCAACAGTAGCCAAGCCAAAAGCCAAACCAGGAAGGCAATGATATTTATAATTGCCACCAAAAAAATAAAATATCTAGGAATACAGCTAACCAGGAAGATGAAAGATCTCTACAATAAAAATGACAACATTGCTCAGAGAAAACACAAACAAATGGAAAAACATTCCATTCTCATGGATAGGAAAAATCAATATCATTAAGGTGTCCATACTGCCCAAAACAATTTATAGATTCAATGCTATTTGTATCAAACTACCAATGGCATTCTTCACAGAACTAGAAAAATCTACTTTAAAATTCATGTAGAACTAAAAAAGAGCTTGAATAGCCAAGGCAGTTCAAAGCAAAAAGAACTAAGCTGGAGGCATTGTGTTACCTGACTTCAAACTATGCTACAGGGCTATCATAACCAAAACAGCATGGTACTTGTACAAAAACAGGCACATAGGCCAATGGAAAGAATAGACAATCCAGAAACAAGGCTGTACAACTATGACCACTTGATCTTCAACAAAGATGACAAAAAGAAGCCATGGGAAAAAGACTCCTTATTCAATAAATGGGGCTGGGATAAGTGGCTAGCCATGTTCAGAAGATTGAAATTGGACCCCTTCCTTACACCATACACAAAAATCAACTCAAGATGGATTGGAGACTTAAATGTAAAACCCAAAACTGTAAAAACTCTAGAAGACAACCTAGGCAATACTATCCTGGATATAGGACTATGCAAAGATTTCATGGCAAAGACACCAAAAGTAATCACAACAAAAGCAAAAAATAGACAAATGGAATATAATTAAACTTAAGAGCTCTGTACAGCATGAGAAACTATCCACAGAGTAAACAGACAATCTGCAGAATGGGAGGAAATATCTGCAAACTATGAATGTGACAAAGGTATACTATCCATCATCTATAAGAAACTTAAATTTACAAGAGAAAAACAACCCCATTAAAAAGTGAGCAAAGGATATGAACAGACACTTTTCAAAAGAACACATACATGAAGCCAACAAGCATAGAAAAATAAGTTCAATATCACCATTCATTACAGAAATGCAAATTAAAACCACACCAGTCAGAATGCCTATTAATAAAAAGTCAAAAAATAACACGCTGGCAAGGTTGCAGAGAAAAGGGAACACTTATACACTGTTGGTGGGAGTCTGAATTAGTTCAACCATTGTGGAAAGAAGTATGCAGATTCCTCAAAGAGCTAAAAGCAGAACTACCATTTGACCCAGCAATTCCATTAGTTGGTATATACCCAGAGGAATATAAGTTATTCTACTGTAAAGACACATGCACATAAATGTTTACTGCAGCAATATTCATAATAGCAAAGGCATGGAATCAACCTAAATGCCCATCGATGATAGACTAGATAAAGCAAATGTGATACATATACACCGTGGAATACCATGCAGCCATAAAAAAGAATGAGATCTTGTCTTTTGCAGAAATATGGACGGAGCTGGAGGCTATTCGCCTTGTGAACTAACACAGGAACAGAAAACCAAATACTGCATATTTTTCTAAGTGAGCTAAATGACGAGAGTACAGGGGCACACAGGGGGAATAACACACACTGGAGTCTACCTGAGGGTGGAGGGTGGGAAGAGGGAGAGGAGCAGGAAAAATAACTATTGGGTACTGGGTTTAATAATGAATTAATTATTTCTGTACAACAAACCCACATGATGTGTGTTTTACCTATATAACAAACCTTCACATGTACTCCCAAACCTAAAGGTTATCAAAAGGAAGGTCCAGAAAATTCAGGTCAAACTTTTTAAAGAAAAATTATTTAAACTAATTCAAACAAAAAAGTTTTATAACTATGTTTTTATCCTGGAAGATGCTAAATATTAAGGCTCTGAAAAATTTAATATTTCTACCTTCATTGGTTTAAAGGTGTATCTATACAATATAGTCCTGTCTTAATTGTAATCAAAATTAAAAAATAATAACTTTCTCTTTTAAAAAAATTTTTTTAAGATGGAATCTTGCTCCTCTGTGGCTCAGATTGGAGTGCAGTGGCGTGATCTTGGCTCACTGCCATCTCCGCTTCCTGGGTTCAAGTGATTGTCCTGCCTCAGCCTCACAAGTAGCTGGGATTACAGGTGCATGCCACTATACCCAGATAATTTTCATATTTTTGGTAGAGATTGGGTTTCGCCATGCTGGCCAGGCTGGTCTTGAACTCCTGACCTCAGATGATTCACCAGCCTCAGCTTCCCAAAGTGCTGGGATTACAGGTGTGAGCTGCTGCATCCAGCCAAAAATGATATCTTCCGTTTGTAAAAGAAAGGAAGGAAGGAAGAAAGGGAGGGAGGGAGGGAGGGAAAAAATACAGTTTTGTTCTAAGGTATGGGTAGAGTGGACTGAGAAGGTGACCTAAGGAATATTCTTGTAAGAAGGAATAAAAAATAAAAAAGTATTTTGCCAAAAGAAAAGAAGGGTGGCAAGAAATCAAAGGCTAGGGCCCTGACTTCCCCTTCCCACCTTGGTTTCTGGGTGGCGTCTTAAGGGCTGTGCCAAAGGAAAACTTCAGAAGGTTTAAGGGAAGGAAAATCCAGAGGCATTCGTGTCTCACTTTCCATTTGGGATTGGAAAGGGGATTGCCTCACAGAGTACACCATGTCAAGATGGGGTTTCACAGCAGGGTAAAGGTAGACAAAGGAAATTGCACAAAACAAAGAAGCTACACTGGTTGTATAACTCAGAATTAATTTTGTCAATTTTTAACACCAATTAACAAATAGGTTACCTCAGTCTTGCCTGGTTTTGAGTGTCAGAGGCCAAGGTTTGCAGTCTTTATGAAGCAACAGCATAGCCTGTGAGAAAAATGGTGGGAATTATTGCTAGAGATGAGGCTGATTACCACTGTTTTGCCCCTAACTGACAAGATTCTGCCAAAAATTGACTGGTCCACAACAGTGTGTGTTGGCAAGTTCTGCCTTTGTTCTTGATGCTTGCAGAATAACCATTGCCTTTCCCTTTTGGAGGCAGTGTGTCACACTCATTGGCAGATAGTCCTGGGTTCTCACCTTGGCCCTGCCAGTTGTTGGCTGTGTGATTTTGGACAGCTTTCTTACCTCTCTGTGCCCCAGTTCTTCTTATTATTAATAACACAAAATAATAATAAGTGTAGTACCTCAGGGCTTATTATGTGAAAAGCACTTTACAAAGCATATAATATGCATTACCTCATTTAGTTCTCACATTCACCATATGAGGTAGGTACTACTGTTATCCCCATTTCACAGATGAGAAAACATGCCCCAAATCACACAGGTAATAAGTAGTAGAAATAAGAACTGAAACCAGGTTGGGCTGACTGCAAAGACCATGGAGCTTGATTGCTATACCGTGGGATCCATGAGATGGCTGCAATACCAAGCAGCCTACAGGGACCCTTATATGCAATTTCCTGCTAATCTGTATCAACAGTTGGTCCAGAATAATAACAGCATTGACCCCTGTGGGATTAAGGTAACTCTTTTTTTGTGTGTGAATATAACTTTTAAACAGGTCTCACATTTGTTTTAACAAAAATATTTGGATCTGTGTCTATGACTTATCACTTTCCATTAGGTTCCATACTGGGGCCAGGGATCATGCCACACTGCAAACTCCCCCTAGATCTGGAGACAGATGCTTGCTGGTGACTGCCTGCGGCAACACACCTAAAAACCAGTGACAGCCTGGGCAGGTTCCCAGCTGCTTAAATTAGCCTGTAGGATCCTTGTAGGCAAAGGTGTATTTTAGGACAGCAGCACTGAACAGCATCACAGAATGACAAGAATGCAGCCCCTTCCACATTTATACAAATGTCCAAATAATTTGCACTCATGTTTGACCCTACTAAATAGTTGTCTGAATGGAGTGCGAAAATCTATTTATCTGTACACCAATAAATATCCATGCACATACAGTTCAGAAACTGAATGATAATGACTTTTAAAAAACAAATTTTAATTGTAATAAGTAAAATTCTGTTTTTCAGAGGACTGCAACACATTTTAGTTAGCAAATTCATTTGTTGTGGATAATTTCATTAGCTACTAAGTTCTTCCAGGGGAATCATTTAGAATTATTGGTAATAATAATGACTGGATAATAATGCTTTTTAATGAATTGCCATGAGCAGTAAGTATGAATCAATAGTTTACTATAGTGGAAAGAAATTTCTGATCTAGATCAGGAATATCCAAGGCAGAAGAAACCTTAGAATTTATTTATCCTATGCTACCATGTGTCCCCAGGCGTAATTTACAAGTCAGGAAGCAGGCTCAGAAAATCTGTGTCATTTTTAAGGTCACTCAGTGAGTTAAAGGCACAACCAAGGGTCCTGACTTCCAGGGCAGCTAAGTCACATTGCTTCACAGTCATGTTCTGCTGTACAACTGTGGCAATAACTGTGAACAGATAACTCCCTCCATCTTTGGGATGGAATTTAGAGATTATCACAGTTTATATTTACAGGAATAATTCAAAATATCTGTTGACTAGAAGCTAGAGATGTACTGGGAATCCAAATTCAGGAGGAACTTATTGAAACCTCAACATTCCAGACACCAAGCCTATCGTTTCATCTGCATAACAATCCATGAGGTTGATCTATTAAGAATTGCCCCATTTCACAGATGAAGAAATGGGGTTTACAGAGGGCATGTGATGACCCAGTCACACTGTATTTATCCATTTTCACACTGCTCATAAAGTTGTACCCAAGATTAGAGAATTTACAAAAGAAAGATATTTAATGTACTTAACAGTTTCACATGGCTGGGGAAGCCTCACAATAATGGTGGAAGAAGGAGCCAGTCACATCTAAGATGGATGGCAGCAGGCAAGGAGAGAGACTGGGCAGGGGAACTCTGCCTTATAAAGCCATCAGATCTCATGAGATTTAGTCACTATCATAAGAATAGCACTGGAAAGACCTGCCCCCATGATTCAATTACTTCCCACCAGGTCCCTCCCACAACATGTGGGAATTCAAGATGAGATTTGGGTGGGGACTCAGACAAACTATATCATTCCACTCCTGGTCCCTCCCAAATCTCATGCCCTCACATTTCAAAACCAATCTTGCCTTCACAACAGTCCCCCAAAGTCATAACTCATTTCAGCATTAACTCAAAAGTCCACAGTCCAAAATTTCATCCAAGACAAGGCAAGTCCCTTCCACCTATGGGCCTGTAAAACCAAAACAGGTTAGTTACTTCCTAGATACAGTGGGGGTACAGGCCTTGGGTAAATACAGCTTTTTCAAATGGCAGAAATTGGCCAAAACAAAGGGGTTGCAGGCCCCATGCAAGTCTGAAATACAGCAGCACAGTAAAACCTTAAAGCTCCAGAATGATCTCCTTTGACTACATGTCTCACACCTAGGTCAAGCTAATGCAAGAGGTAGGTTCCCACAGTCTTGGCAGCTCCACCTCTGTGGCGTTGCAGGATACAGCCTCCCTTTGAGATGCTTTCATGGGCTAGTGTTGTGTCTGTGGCTTTTCCAGGTGCACAGCGCAAGCTGTCAGTGGATCTACCATTCTGGGATCTGGAGGACAGTGGCCCTCTTCTCACAGCTTCACTAAGTAACGCCCCAGTAGGGACTCTGTGTGGGGACTCTGAATCAATACTTCCCTTCCACACTGCCCTAGCGGACGTTCTACATGAGCACTCCACCCCTGCAGCAAACTTCTGCCTGGGCATCCAGGCATTTCTATATATCTGAAATCTAGGTGGAGGTTCCCAAACCCCAATTCTTGACTTCTGTGCACTTTCAGGCTCAACACCATGTGGAAGTTGACAAGTTCTGAAGCTACAGCTCAAGCTCTACATTGACCCCTTTCAGCCACAGCTGGAGTGGTTGGAAGGGAGTGCACCAAGTCTCTAGGCTGTACACAACACAAGGACCCTGGCCTCAACCCACTAAACCATTTTTTCCTCCTAGGTGTCTGGGCCTGAGATGGGAGGGGCTTCTTTGAAGACCTCTGACATGCCCTGGAGACATTTTTCCCATTGTCTTAGGAATTTAGCTCTTTGTTACTTTTGCAAATTTCTGCAGCCAGCTTGAATTTCTCCTCAGAAAATGAAATTTTCTTTCCTATCACATTGCCAGGCTGCAAATTTTCTGAACTTTTATGCTCTGCTTCCCTTATAAAACTAAATGCATTTAACAGCACCCAAGTCACATCTTGAATGTTTTGCTGCTTAGAAATTTCTTCCACCAGATACCCAATATCACCTCTCTCAAGTTCAATGTTCCAAAAATCTCTAAGGCAGGGGCAAAATGTGGCAAGTCTCTTTGCTAAAACATAACAAGAGTCACCTTTGCTCCATTTCCCAACAAGTTTCTCATGTCCATCTGAGACCACCTCAGCCTGGATTTCATTATCCATATCATCAACAGCATTTTGGTCAAAGCCATTCAACTCTAGGGAGTTCCAAACTTCTCCACATTTTTCTGTCTTCTTCCAAGCCTTCTAAACTGTTCCAACCTCTGCCTGTTACTCAGTTCCAAAGTTGCTTTGACATTTTCAGGTATCTTTTCAGCAGCATCCCACTCTACCAGTACCAATTTACTATATTAGTCCATTTTCATGCTGCTGATAAAGATAGACCCAAGACAGGGCAATTTACTAAAGAAAGGAGTTTAACAAACTTGCAGTTCCATGTGGCTAGGGAAGCCTCACAATCATGGTGGAAGGCAAGGAGGAGCAAGTCACATCTTCCATGGATGGCAGCAGGCAGAGAGAACCTGTGCAGGAAAACATGGCCTTATAAAGCCATCAGATCTTGTGAGACTTATTCACAAGAACAGCACTGGAAAGATCTGCCTTTGTGATTCAATTACCTTCCACTGGGTCTCTCCCACAACAGGTGGGAATTCAAAATGAGATTTGGGTGGGGACACAGCCAAATCATATCATACACAGTAAGTAATAGAGCTTGGATTTGATATTGGACTTTGTGACTCCAGTCTAAGCCCTTTCTTCTTTTCCACAGCAACAACTTATTAAAACTTCCATAAGAATCCCCAAGAGGGAGAACTAAGAATCTCCTTGGCTCTGTATACATCAAGATACTGTGTTATGCAATATGGCCAGTGCCCCTTTTAGGTAAAGATATAGCATTCAGCTCAGTTGGAGGGAAATAGAAACCATGTTCTTACTCTTGAGGAATTATCTTCCTTCTGGCTGGTGAACTGAAATTATTCAAACACATCCTAGGTAAAGCACGACTGCTGCCATAAAACACAATGCTTAAATAGAATAACAATAAATTACAAATTCAAGCATCTCCCCTACCATTCTGTCTTGGAAAGTTTATTGCTACACAGATAAAAACGTCAATGAGTACAAGAAAAATGTAACACCAGCTACTGAATTTTACCCATATTGATAGTTGGTCGTGTGCCAAATGGGTTGCACTTTAGCATGCAGTATTAAAACTTCAGAATCCACCATCCTTGACATGCACTGGATTCCCCCAAATGCTCAAAGATTCCACTATTCATTCCCACATCAGCTGTGAATTTCTAGCTCTTTACTAATCTCCTCTGCTTCTTACAATCAGCTTATCTTTTTTTTGTATTTATTACATCCACTTGCTATGTAAACTGGAAACCTTTAACTATTTAAAGTTGTGATTTAAGAAACTACAGAGGAGCCAGAAATAGAAGTTTGGGTTTAAACATTTTTTTTACAAGAAAGGGTTAGAAGGGCATCAACCTAGGGAGAAAAAAAGACTGACTCTCCTGCACAGGTTTGGGGAGTTGCTGATATACTGCCCTTGTAAGTTGACACCCTGGCACCCATGACATGTAGAG